CCCCCCTGCTCGAGGCCGAGAGCAGCGTCTCCCAGCTGCAGGCAGAGCTGGAGCAGCTGCGAAAGGACCTCTCTGACCAGGCCAAGCAGCAGAAGAGGTGATGTTTGGTGGGGAAGGGGGCGGCGAGGCTGCGCCCAGCCCGCGGAGGCTCTGCCTGCACATCCCCCCAGGTGCCCAGCTCCGGCACTCTGCAGCAGAGGCTATCTCACCCGTCAAACGTGGGTGCTGCACGAGAGCCCCAGCCATGTGGAGGGAGGGCCCCAGCACCGCCGGCAGGGCCGTGCCAGACCTCGGGCTTGGCAGCCTCTTCCCTGCCACCCTGGGGCAGGGCCAGGCCCAGCCCGGGAAACGCTGCCCTGCTCACTCAAGTCTCGAGCACCGGTGGCCAGGGAAGCCTGTCTGCAGCTGCTGGCAGGTCCCTCCAGGGCTCTTGGTGGCAACCCCTGCAACCCTGGGTGCTCTTGGGGCCCTCGACTGTCCCAGCACCTCTACCACCCCCAAAACTGCCTGCTGGGTTCAGGCTAGGAGGTCCCGCTCAGTCCCTGTGCCAGGTCCAGCCCTGCAGCAAGGATGCCGTCTCTCTGCAGAGAGCAGCTGACGCTGAGGGAGATGGCAGAGGAGAACCTGGTCTTCACGAGCTACATCAGGACGCTGCAGTACGTATGGGCCTGGCAGGGCAGCGCTGGCACGGGACATAGGCAGGTGCCAGGCTGGGATGCGCCTGCCTGCGGGTCACCGCTGTGAGTCCAGCCCTTCCCTGGTTCGGTCCCTGCACCTGCTGGGTCTGACATTGCTCTCGCTTGACAGGGCAACTAACAGGAGCCTGTACGAGAGCAACAACAGCCTGCGCTCAGCGCTGCTGCTTGGCTCGGACAGTAGCCCGAGAGAGGTGAGCCCTCCAACTTCTGCAGAGTGGGGCCTGCAACCGCTGCAGGAACGGAGGGCCGGGGCCAGCACCGGAACAGGCAACAGAGGGTGGTCAGGGATGCTGGGCACCGGCCACGTTGGCAGGGTGCAGGTGGGCTCGGGGCTGCCCTTGCCTCCTCTGCCTGCACCCCCAGTGCCGCGCAGCGCAG